CCCTCAGAAACGGCGCTTTCGCCCAGGACTTCCTCGAACGTTCACGCTCTTACCTTCCTGCTCCTCCTCCCTCTCCCTCCTCTCTCCTCCCTCCTCTCCTCCATCCTCTCTCCCTCCTCCCTTCCCTTATTTTGATGCCTCTCTGCCCTATCACCTCTCGCTCCTCTCCCTCCTCCCTTCTCCTTCCCCTCTCCTGCCTCCTCCCTCCCTTTTTCTTGTTTTTTTTTTCTCTCTCTCTCTCTCTCTCTCTCTTTCTCTCTCTCTCTCTCATTATATCCCCTCTCTCTGTCTCTCTCTCTCTCTCTCTCTTTGTCTACCTTTTTTATATGACTTGTTGTTTCTCTCTCTCTCTCTTTTTTCTCTCTCTCTCTCTCTCTCTCTCTTTCCCTTTTTGTTTTTTTCTCTCGCTCTCTCTCTCTCTCTGCCCCCCTTTTCACTCCTTCTCTCCTGGCGTTTTACCTCTTCCTTCGTTCCTCCCCCTCCCTTCCTCCCACTGTCCCTCGTTCTCCCCCTCTTTTTGCAGGGCCCACACCAATTCCAATGGCAGGCGCATGTACGCCCACGAAGGATTGTCCGCCCGTTCAGACTTGCTCGCCTGTCTAAGCCCGCCGCCCCCCACAAAGAGAAAGAATCCCTCCCAAGGGGGGGCGATCGAAGACAAAAAGTGCGGTTATCGAGGGTGCGGGGAACTCGTGTGAATGACACACGGGCAAGTAAGAGCGAACAGTTTTAGAATAATCGAATTCTCACTTCTGAAGAACAAGTATCGCTGATCCCCCTAACCAATGCATACTGTTTGTTCCCAAATTACAGTGTGCCCCTCGACTCTCGCACCTTGTTTTTATATCAGGGAACGTCTTGAGGCTCAAGCTGGGCCCGTGGCCCCCCGGGTTACAACAATAAGGGTTCCCGCCTGAGACGTCCTCATTCTTTAGCCAGGACCCCCGCTCCCGCCCGTGACTTCCTCGCCTTTTACTCAGGAATCGTGCTTTCGCTTGGGACTTAATTACAATTGTTTGAGGAATCGCTCTCCCGGCGCTCTGGAGTCGCGCCCTCGCTGGAGGCTAGATTGCAATCTACTGAAGAATAGCGCCCTTGCGTTGGAATTTCTTGCAATTCAGTCAAGCGCCGCGCTCCCGACACCCAGACACCCAGGAGTTGCGCTCACGCTTGGGGCCCCCCCACATATTACCTAGGAATCGGGATCTCGTTGCCCTTCGTGGCCCCGTTGCAGCCTTTCGTGGCCACCTCGCTGCCCTTCGCGGCCCCGTTGCAGCCCTTCGTGGCCCCGTTGCAGCCCCTCGTGGCCTCGCCTCTTCGCAGCCCTTCGTGGCCCCGTTGCAGCCCTTCGTGGCTCCCTCGTTTTGTTTCGTGGCCCCGTTGTAGCCCTTCGTGGCCCCCTCGCTGCCTTTCGTGGCCCCATATATGTATGCCCTTCGTGGCTCCCGCTCGTTCGCGCCCTTGGTGGCCCCATATGCATGCCCTTCGTGGCCCCGCTGTCGCCATTCGTGGCCCCCTCGCTGCCCTTCGTGGCCCCGTTGCTGCCCTCATTGGCCCCGTCCTTGCCCTCCGCGGCCCAGTATACGTATGCCTTTCGTGGCTCCCGCTCGTTCGCGCCCGTTGTGGCCCCATGTACATGCCCTTCGTGGCCCCGCTGTCGCTGTTTGTGGCCCCCTCACTGTCCTACGTGGCCCACTTGCTACCCTCAGTGGCCCCACCGTTGCTTTTTGTGGCCCCGCATTATCTGCCCTTCGTGGCCCCCGTTCGTTCGCGCTTTTCGTGGCCCCTTACGCATTCCCTTCGTGTCCCCGCTGTTGCCCTTCGTGGCCTACTTCGTGTCCTTGTGGCCCTGCTGTCGTTCTCTCTCGCTCTCGTTTTCGCTCGTCGCCGTCGTCGTCGCCGCCGCCGTCGTCGTCGACGACGTCGTCGTCGTCGTGGTCGGTTCCCTGGCCGTCCCTCTTGGGATCGGGTCGACGGTCCGCGGCCGCCCCGCCGATCAGCGCTGCCGCTGGCCAGGCCGACGGTCCGCGGCCGCCCCGCCGTTTGCCGGGGCCCAGCCTGCAGGGAAGAAATGTATACCCCCCAAAAGGGGTTCGATCGAAGACGAAAAGGGCGGGTATCGAGGGTTTGGGAAATACGCGTTAACGGACACTCGAGCAGAAAGGGCGAACAGTCCCAACATTACTGTTGCTGTTGAACTGCCATTTCTGAAGAGTTATTATTGTTGATCCCCCCATATCCGGTGCATGCAGTTCGTTCTCAATTAAAGTGTGCCGCCACTCGACGCTCGCACCTTGTTTTTTGACAGGGAAAGTCTTGGTGCTCAAACTGGGCCCCTGGCCCCCCGGATCACAACAACAACAACGGCTTCCGCCTGAGATTTCCTCCAAATTTGTTCAGGACCCCTGCTCCCAAGTTACTCCGGATCGGTGGGTGCTCCCGCCCGTGAATTCTTCGCAATTGAGTCAGGACCCCCGCTCTCATCTGAGACCTCCTCTCA